TCTTCTCCTCCAGCTGCTGGGGACAAGACTTATCCCTAATTTCTAATCATTGTTACCTATCTCAGATAACAATAAATAGTCTCAAAGACACTCATTTGACCTCTAGTAGAATGGTCAACCAGATTTTGGGGTACACCAGAGGAACTCCTCTGCTGCAAAACCGAGGATTTGAGATATATCACCCAGTGGTCCACTCTTGAAATAACCCTGATTTGACAAGTGCAAGGACCAAATCCAAAGCAAAAATATCTTGCAACATTCGTGCAAAGATGATGAGGAGACCAATGAAGGGCCATCAGAGTGAGAAAAATTGAAAGATCCCCCTAACAGATATCTTCCTGTAGGGACATCCTGAGCTAGAAGGATGACATTTCTCCCTGTAGAGGGATGAGGACAGTGACTGCAAACGTGTGGGAACTTTGTTTTGCACCCCAGTCCTTCTCTGTATTAGTGTGCGCTAGTACCTGGGACGGAATTACAAGACATAGTGTCTTTTCTTAATAATTCCTGAAAGGCCAGAGAGCAGCAAGCTCAGGTGGCAACTGTTCTTCACACAGTCCCTGTTCTCCATCTCTTTTCCCAGGAACTGGACTCAAGAGAATAACAATGTCCCTCTTCCATGACATAAAGACACAACCACAAGTGCAATTAAACCTCACCACGAGGTGTCTAGTGACAAAACCTAAACAATGTGCAGCTCACCCCATCATGATTACTGGGGAAGAAGAGCATAGGCACTGAAGTGACTTCTCCAAGACTTTTTAGGCAAACTATAGCCAAACCTAGCCAAGAATGAAACATTGCACTTGCTAAATTGCATTGAAATTTGTTCTCTTTCATTGGGTCAAACTCACCCCAGCATACTTCTGTTTGACTACCTGTAACAGAAACCTGATTGTAATGGTGTTTTCAATTGATCTCTGAAAATTATACTTGAAAAACACCTCCTCTGGTCTTTTTTTTCCCACTCCTCAACCCCCAAACATGAAAAAAAAAAAGATCCATGAGAAAAAATCTCAAACCAAAACAGAACACATGAATTGAAAGTAGAAGATGCATTTATTCTACAATTGTAAAAATGTATTGTACAGAACTCAGAGCTATAAGCCTTTTGTTCCTGTAGCATCATGTCAACCCATATTAGAAAGACTGTTTTTCTAATATGCTCTCCATTACACCTGAGAATAATAATAACCCTAGCAGCTGATATGTAAAGAAACAGGAATCCCCATGAGTATGATCCACCTTACAGTTCTAGATATGCAAACCAGTCATTCATTATGTAAAAATGCTTCCTTCCTTTATAGTTGCTTTTTTATTGTTAATAAACTGTCAGACCTTTCATTCTAAATGCTAATTAACAGTGGTATGCACCAAAAAATCTTCAAAAGACCTTTTATGTTTTTGAAAGAGAAAAGAATTTGAGGAAGATTAAATGGATATAAATACACTAAGGCAAGCCGTGTATAGGGGTAAATGGTTGGGCAAAAACCTGTTTACTGGGTGTCAGCATAGCATTACTATTTTGGCATATATAAGGTAAAATACAGTCGAGCTGCACATGTTTTAAATCTGTAGTTTATACCAAGGGCTACAGTGACACTGGCAGAGTAGCTATCTATCAGATTTTTTTGTCACTGAGAAAGCTGTAAAAAATTCAAGCTTGATTTTCTCCTTCCTTTCCTTAAGGTGAGTCAGCAGTACTACCACTGATGTCAATGGTGTTACACTGGTGTAAAACTGGGGTGAGAGAGAGGCGAATAAGTATCCTAATTTACTGTTTCATGCCATTTTTCTTTTTAGGGTTTAGTCCTATAATCCTCCAGAACAGCAACCAAAATCAGTGATACTGTGCCTGTCTAAAGGTTACTCACAATGGAAAATGAAAAATAGGTTTCTTCTTTTTCTTTTAAAAACTGTATATGAAAGCCTGCAAGCCTGTTTGCTCCCTTTTTCTCCCCACAATATTTTCTAATGTCAGAAACACAGGTTTTTTTCCATGCTGTGGTCAGCCTGGAGTGCACCATCACGAGGACTGCAGGACCAAAGACAGTAGAAGTGGGAACTTTTGTATTCAGATTCCCTTCTTGTTTTTATTCCAATTCAATTAAAAAACTCTAAACCAGCTGCATTAAAATCCATGCATTGCTGGGCCCCATTGCTGGGCAATTAAGGATGAATTAAGTTCAATGTTCACTCTCCAATCATAGCTATTGAAGGCATGCTTTCAGTAATTATTTATTTACCCTAGGGAAGAAAAAAAAAAAGAATAACAGCAGGCACTATGAGGCCAGGCACTGTTTCATTTTTGATTCCTCTTGATAGAACAGATGAGACTGACTCACCTGATATTATGGTTTCGTTTTGAAGATGAAGTGGAAACTGCTGTATATTTATGGGGACTGGTGATGCATATTTTAGAGGTGCTCAGGGTTGTGTCAAGGTAGGTTACTCAGCCAAGTCAAAATGTGTGCAGGAGGGACAGGTTTGTCATGCTTATCTCTAAGCACCCAGGGTGGAGGGTTGAGTTTCTGGCTTTCAGAGCATCCTTGCTCAGAGGAGACATTGAAGCATTTCCCACTAGATACTTCATCCTGTCGCAATATGGACAACTAAATTGTGTTCATTGGCCCCCTTTTTTTTTCCCCGGAAGATACCTCGGGCAGAATCTCCCTTTCTTTCTGCTGTGCCAACAAGGGCACCATCCACTGTTCATGAATAAGGGTGAAAGGCTCAATTTTAAAGTCTTTCCTGTATGTAAAATCCCTGCACCTCCTCTAGAAATTTCACCTGAGCAGCAATGATAAGAGCATTAAAATCAGGTCAGATCAATGTCATCAGGATATTAACAAATTTCATTGTGAAAAAAGATAATGAGGGTGGGCTTAGCACAGAGGGAGGTGCTACATGCCAACAACAATACATGTACTACTACAGATGTTCCTTCACAGAATTTCTTTGGTAAGTCATCTAGTTCTACGGTAAGCATATTCTTTTAAAGCTACCAGCCTTACAATCCCTATAACACACTAAAGATCACTTACTGTTTATAGTAGATGTAAAGATTTAATGACTGATGATTAAATGCACAGTGAACTTATTAAAACCTGAAAGAATTAAATAATTCAAATTGGCAGGAGATGTAAATTTAAAATTAGTTTTAATAATTCTGCATAAAATGTAACTCTTTTTAAAATAAGTGCATCTAATCATGAGAGACATTTTTTCCTATTTTTACATGTTAAGTTTTAATCCACTTTTGTGTTTCCCCTTCAAAATACCAGGCATTGATTTAAAGGAAAAAAAAATTGAAAATAAGTCAAATAAAAAACCATGCTCCTCTTAGGCCTTCCTTTAATGTCATAAAAGAAATGGTATAAATATTCGTTTGAAGAAATAACACTACCATAAATGAGAAACTATTGATTAAAATGAGGCATTTTTGCTTTTTCTTCATTCTCTTTTATTTTTTTGTTTCAGGTTTGTTTTTTTTTAGTTTTAGTTTGCACTAGATCTACAGGAATAGTTAATACCAGCAGTGAAAATGCTTTCTTTGCTCAGCATCTTCTCATCAGAGATTACAACATGATAGAAAACATGCCAACTTGCCTCACACACCACCATGTGCCTCCCATTACTCAAGGTCACCTGCAGTCTATCTAATGTGTAATTTTAGCAATTCAGTACTGTTAAAATCCAGCTGTTCAGGTTTATAGGTTGTATGTATAGTCCAAACCCACGGACAACTCAGTTTTCCTCATTATCATTTTTGAAGCACATGCATAGTTGTACTTGATACAGTTTAAAGGATAGATGTGCTGACTGCACGTTCCATTTAATATGACTTTTACCCTAAATCTTACTGTGTATCACAACTCTGTTTCATTAATTTTTCTTTTCCATGTGGCTGTCTTTGGTGCTCACATACATTATATTTTGCCTGGGACACTGACCCTCTCTAGGGGTCAACACACCTATGAGCTTCTGAATCAAAACCATTTGTAACAAGAAAGCTTTAGATGTGATTATTTTATCTTCCACTGGCTCATTTCAAGACACTCACAAAAGCTGAGTACTAAGCTAAGAATAAGGAGAGGGAAGCAAATTATCTCCAGTAATTTAAATACATAAACCAGCTTTGGCTCTCTATACCCTGTTTCCCAAGTGCTGAGTCCTCAATTAATGCTTGTCTTATCTCCTTCCCTTAGTTTTCCATGTCTCCAATTATCCTTCCTTAAATGACATTTTAGATAGCAGAAAAATCAAAATAGCCTTATAAATAACATATTTAGAGTGTGACTATTCCTTTCTCAAATTGCATCCCAGCTTAAGCAGAAGCAAGTGGAGACACCTCTGGTGTGTGTGAATGAAAGGGTGCATATTGCACATAAATGTGAGGGTTTCTTATTTACATGTTGCTCATCTTTATGCAAGTTAAAGACATTTACAGCTGAGGCTGATATCACCTTCCCCAGGAATCTCAGGCGCTGGTCAAGGCTACAAACAGCAGGTGCAATCAAGCTCGTAACATGTTTTTCATGGAAAGTGAGAAGTGCTATAGCCTGGGAGGGTATGAGGGGAAACTAATGCAATTCCCTTTGAAAAGATAGCCGACATTTTCAAAGAACAAGCACTGTACATAAGTTCAGGTTATTTAATGGCTTTCATGTTGTAGGAATATTTGCCAGTGATGAAAATGTTGCAGAGCCAATCAAACCACGGTGCCACACAGCCTGCCACACTCGGAGGCCAGTGTTTAAAATTACCCTTATGTATTATTCATTAAGAGTTGATGTTTATGCAAATTGCAGAAGCATGTTCCCAATCTGGCCATCTGGGGTTAACAACAACAATAAAAACAATAGCAATAATAATTATTAAAAAAAATGCATACATAGCTGCTCCCTGATCAAACTAGCAAGATTTGAGTCGTCTCCAGAATCTATAAAATAAATGCTAATTGTCCTTCATTAAATGCATTAAAAGAATTCAAACCTTACCTGGTTAGCTTTGTAGGGCCCTCAGATTTTCTGGGTGAAATATCTGACTGTGTGGGCAACCAATAAAACTGAACTGAAAATCTGATTAAGGGCACTTAATGCAAAGCCACTCACTGAATATTCATATGATGTCTGTGTTTATGCAAATTAAAGGAAAGAAAGCCCAAGAGGATTGGTTGCCATAGCCCACAAACACTGTATACAGCAGAAAAACAGAGAATAGTGACAAATAAATCTTGAAAATTCACAGCTGGAAAGGAGAATGAAGAGTATAATAAAATAATAAAAGTCTTACAATGCATTAAAGGTTTCAAAAGCTTTATTTAATCATGCAATTTTTAACCTTGTCAGATATTTTTATACAATGTACAAATCTGCAATTATCACCATCCTATAAGATGATATAACTGATGTTTGTCAACTATATTTATTCTGTAACTGTATAAGCAGAGTCCTTACGCATTTCAAGGAGGTGAAAAATAATTACAACAAAAATGGTGGTATGATACATTAAGAACAAAACCCATGAGCTTGTGCCACACTTTATCTAGTCTTCCAGATGAGGCTTTCTTCTCAAGGAAAATGATAGTGGAAAGTAGAGTGTGCCAGTGGGAGTTTGATAGAAAGCTCCTTGGTATCTTAGGTTTGTTGTGGAGCTGCTTCATTCCAGATGCAGGCTCATATGTGATAGAGTTAATATTACTGTTGCACTGGGCTTGTTCCCAGCCTAAAATAATTTTTAAGGGACCATGGGTTTTTATAATTAAAAATCAAAATGCATGTGAAATTTATATGAAATGTTATTTCTCAAATCAGATTCAAATATATCAGTCCAAAGTCCTCAATATGGTAATCACCAAACCCAATAGTGCTTTTTTACATGAGATATTTAAAAATCAGAATGATACAGTGTATCAGCATTGCCATTTTCTTGATGAGACCAAATATACATAAGTAGAAATACGACTTTCATGCTGTATGTTATATTTTAGTCTTTTCTACTTATTCCCATAAACAAATTACACTTTCAAGAGAGGTTCCCACTTGTAGATAACCATTTATTAACAGTGCCATTGTAATTCAAGGTTTAAGAAATACCAGGTGAAGCCATCTCACACATAACATTTGAATTACATCTGGCTGTTTTGTGTGATTTCCACTGATATATATTGGCTGCTGTTAGCAGACTATTCTTCATCTGAAATAAAAGAACAACCACCAGGACAAAACCCAAATGCTGCTCTAGGGGTATGCATGAACAGAGATCACCGGTTTGTAAGAGGCTGATGGGCTTCCCTTCCTGATGAGTTGAGAACAAATGCACTCTCCCAGAAAGTGGAATGATGGTGCCATAGCAGGAAATTGAGGTATATCATTGGTTTCATGACTGCTGAGATTCCACTGCCAGTTTTGTTTTAGTTTTGAAGACCAACCATCCCATTCCATGTTTTCACTAGTCCTAGAGGGAACTGGGGATTTTGCCGTACCAGCTTATGATTTCTGAGCTGATGCCCTTGCTTGTTGCAGGATTTACTGTCTGCAAGGCACTAGCAGGTATGTTGTCACAGAATAACAAACTCAAAGAATGGGTCAGGTTGGAAGGGACTATGGTGGGTCATCTGGTCCAACCTCCTGCTCAAATAGGGTCGTCCTAGAGCACATGGTAGAGGATTGCATCCTGGCAGTTCTTGAATATCTTCACTGAGGGAAACTCCACAGGCTCTCTGGGCAATCTTTTCTTGTGTAAGGTCACTGCAAAAAAAAAGTTCATCCTCATGTTCAGGTGGAACCTCTTGTGCATTAGTTTCTGGCCACTGCCTCTCATCCTAGGTGTTGGCACCACTGAGAAGAGCCTGGCTCCATCCTCTTGGCACCACTCCTTCATATACATTGATGAGGTGTTGTTGGTACCTGAACAAGGGCAAAGAGACTTTTGGCCATGGGATACCAAAGAACCATGTGAGTGGCAGAAGATACAAAGCAGAGGGTCCCACACGCATGGTCAGGCTGCTCAGAGCAGGCAAAGGAAGCAGGGTGACCTGCTTGGAAGGAAATTATAATAAATATCCAGAAGGAGATTAATCAGACAGTGAATATAACTATATGTATTTAAAAATCCCAAGCTAATAGGGACAATAAGCATACACTGATTTCCTTTACATCACCCACAGAATAAAATTTATGTAACACAAGAACTTTTCTATTTTCAAGGCAGCCATACAGTGCTGAGAGTCCTACTACAGGACTCAAGCGCTCTCAAGTTTTCCATTTCTTCTTGAAACATATAAGTGTAAAAAATTCTTTTCTTCAGAGAAGAAGTAATAATTTTCCCAGGCGGGACACAGTACCAGCTGTGAAGTCATAAATATTCAGCCACTGACTGAGCTGGATGTGCATGTGAACGTTGATGCAATGATTTAGCAAAATAGCATCTCATTCATACAATGCATGGGCATGCAAACAATCAGGTATATTCACAAGGCAGAAATAAGAGCAGTATATGAAGAAATTGTGAGAGGCCTTAATCAACTTCATTTTCTTCGTGTTGACCACAGTAAACATTAGTCCTGGGTACCAGCACGAAGTTTCCCACTGGATTTAGTGGGGTGGAATCAGTTGTGGGCGAAGAAGGTTGAGATGCTGTTGGCTTTTCAAACAGTCTTTAGTCTTACTCTCATATACTTACAAGCATTTACTTCTAGCACTGGGTACAATGGGATTCAGAATGTGATAGGGAGCTAGCTGGGGTTTTTTTCTTCTTCTTTTTTTTTTTTTTAGGGTAATTTAAATACAAGTGGAAGCTGAAAAAATTCTACCTTTTCAACTCTATCATTAGTAAAGATGCATGTATATGACCTAGTTCTGTGAACTGATATTTCTTCACTGTAGTCCTGTCAATCCCTCACCTTTCAAGCACACTAAACTAATAAAGTTAATTATTTTAAAGAATAAAGAAACAGAGAAAACTTGATACATAAATTGGCTTCTTTGTTCTGCCAATTGACACTTAAGTCATCTCTAAGTGCCTGGAAAAAAATAAAAGGCATTTCTATTGTGAAGCTGATGAACAATTAGGCAATTTCAATTCATGGGATGGCAAAATGGAAAATGCATAGTAATAATGTTTCTCATTTTCCTCTCCTGCATTTATTTTTTTTTTCTGCAGCAAATACCATTAAGCGGAGCAGCAAGGGAACTTCATTTTATAACCTCTGGATTAACAATGCTGGACATTTAACTACTTTTAAGAAGCTCACATATGGAAATGACTATCCCACCACTGTTTCACAGTCATTTAGGTAAAGAGAGAACAGAGCTTTCACACTGTTTTCAAAGCTGAATGACAAAAAGACATGCAGAAGAAAACACTTCATAAGCTCATCCACATGCTCTTTATCTCCTGGATCTCCAAAGAAATAAAAATAGTAACTTGCACCACAATACCCTACTGAAGCACGATCCAAACTTTTTCTGACTTACCACACTCTCAAGGATTCATCTCACATTTTGGAAAAGGTGATATTGAAAATGTCTCCATAACAACACTATTTCTGTTCCTTGTCAAAGCAGCATGTCTACATGGGATTCACCTCCCTGCATTGGCTCATCTCTGACAATTTTTCCTTCTTTCAGTAGCATTTCCTGAAAACGTCTTTTCATACTTTCCTGTTTACTTCTCTCTTTATCCTTCTCTTGCTTCTCAGCTGCTGTTCCAACAACCAACTATTTACTTCTAGTCAGTAACTTTCCTGATCTTCCCACCAGCATCAAAACCCATTTGAAATTGTCCCATATTATTGAAGCAGAGAAGACTGAGAGGTGGGCACTCAAATATTACACAAAAGTATTCCAAGTCTGTTTTAAAGAAAGCCATTATACTGTAAACTGTTACAGAAACACCTAGAAGATTCATCCATGCTGAATACAAAACTACCAACAAGTGAAGTTTTCTTGCTAATGGAAAGTATGGAATCCTGAGATTAAAGAAAAAGCATTACCATCAAATGCAAGATTAAAAGGTGGGGAGTGCTGTGGGAGTGTGAGTGAGGGTGGAATCACCTTTTAGAGTGTCTGCGACATTAGCTTCTATGACACAAAAATAAATTTAAGGGGGAATTTGTGCTGCGGTCAAAGATTTTTTTTTAATGAGAACTGATACAAGATGGAAGAGAAATGAAAGAGAAAACATTTTTATGACATAATGGGATTTTAAAATTAAGCACAGCAGGCATAAACATCCTGTGCAATTTAAAAAACAAACAAACAAACAAAAACCAACAAAACATTGTGTGCCTGTACATGAAAGCCTGCTGTCTTTTCAAAACATTGTGCTGTTACATAGATGTGGGAAATCAAAGTATGGGATAGCAATGGTCATGCATCTCTTTCCACAGCCAAGAGGTGCAGTAACGATGTTTGAAACCAGGACTAGAAGAAAAATACATACTAGAAAGAGAAAAGACCTTCAAAAATCCCCTCCGAATTCCAATACCTTGATACTCTACTGTTCCAGGAAGTCTGTTAACAGCTGCTTTGGAAAACACCTTGTCTATGAGGAATTTTTTTTTTTTATCACTACACCTGCAGGTGGCCCTTTGAATGGACACACAATCTAATATAGGTTAAAAAATCTCACTTTCAAGTGACGCAAAAGACAAGGTTCCACAGGTAAAGGTGTTCAGGGGATAAAAAGGAGAGAGAAAAATAGGTTATCTGATTCTATTACAGAAACATTTTTCTGTTACAAGAAGGTACAGATTATGTGGTATGAATAAAGTCCTAAAAGTCTGGAAACTGCCTACCTTGGTTGGAGCTGAGGTCCCCGTGGAAGATGTAATTTTGTTTAAGAACTGAAATAGAAAAGTAATTGACAGACTCCGTATATGAAAGCTGTCAGGGCTGGCAGTAAGGATCAACAATCCAATATGCATTTTATACCACTTCTTTAGCAAACGTGATATATATGATTTTCAGCACCAGGAATTAAAAAAAAAAAATAAATTCCAGTGTTTGTCTTTTTAGTTTTTTCTTTTCTTGTTTCTATTCTGTATCTTC